TCTACACAAGATGTCTACCTGTCACTTCCAAGAGGAGAGGAAAACTGTGACACAGCTGCTATCACCAGAAGAAAAGCTTAGACCTAATAAATTGCCAAAACTTGGAGTCTTGTTACTTTAAGTTACTTGCCAACGTACTATAACTTGAAAGAAGGAAGGATGCATGTATTTATTGCTAATGCTGGGGAAATTGCCATTAAGGCAGTTGGCAGAAAGGCTGACATTTTAACAGTCATAGGTTAGATAATTTTCTGCATCTATCCAAGAGAAGATTTGACCAAGGACTGAAAAAAAATCAAATTATTCTGTTCACTTGGCTGCATCTAAATGTCTCATTTTCAGCTTACAGGAAAGAATGCTGTGGAAGCAATCTTTGACATTACAACAGAGTGACCGTAAATTGCTTGAATTAACTGTTAGAACTTCAAATGTGAAAACACATGAAAAGTCATTGTCTGAAGTAGAACAAGGATTTTTCATTTGCGTTTTGTACTTTGTATAATATTTATAACTTAAGTTTTACATTAAGATATGTTTTAAATTATCATTTACTCAGTTTCGCAGAGGAAGATTGGCTAACGGGGCACTAGGAAAATCAGTGGCAGAACTGAAAACTGAATTCTTGAATCTTATTTTTCAACATTTCCAGTGCTGTCAGAAAGAAGTGCTAAGTTTTCTTTGTTTTTCAATGGCAAAACAAAGAATATACGGTAGGCTTGAAAGTTGGAAATCATGAAGTGCTTTTTATGGTTTCTAATAGAATAAATTCCCCTCATAGTCTTAAGCTTCTTTTATTATGAATTTAGTTGTGTAAATCAGCCTGTTGCTGATAAACACAAATTTATTTTAGTCCTGGGACCAGCATGTCTCTTATTATGACTTTAGTTGTATAAATCAGACTGTTGCCAATAAACACAAATTTATATTAATTCTAAGATCAACATTTTGAGAAGGGATAAAGTAGGGATCATCTGAGAGTTTTTAAAAGAATGTTTGTCCAAAATAGCTGGTAGGATAAAAATATATTGTACAAACTAAAATAGGACAAAAGAGCTAAAATGCAGTGCATGGTCTAAAATAAGCAGTTCAAATGAATCCAAGTGCAAAATATGTAATTATCTTTCCTATTACCTTATATGTACACAAGTTCTTTTAATTTTTAAAATCCTACATTTCATTCCTTTTGTTATTTTAAAATACATATATACATATACATTGAATTTAACAGACTAAAAGTTTTGAAATTGCCATTTTAACCTACAGATTGACATTTTACACTAGTAGGTAGTAATGGCTATTTATTTATTGGTAGCTGATTGGCCTCTATAAATTAAAAATGAAGAAGGAATAAATTGAGTTTGATTTATCATCATCTCTCCAATGCTCTTCCCCAAACTCTTTGAATCACATGGTTCTTTTTAAATACCTGTGTCCACATCCTCAGGAATGACGTAACAAATGTTCCACATACATGTAGTAGCCATTTTAGTGTTTATTAATTTTATGAATGATTGTTGAACATCCTCCGGGGGGTTAGAAATTGCTCCCACCTTGGAGGAAAGAGTTTCTGGTTGACCATTCATCAGTATTAGTGTTTATTTGCTCCAGCAACACTGACTATTCCCTGAACATTGTAGGCACACTCCTCCATCAACTCTTTTTATACTTGCTGTTCTCTTTGTGGGGTGTTTTTCCTCCATACCCACATGGTTTCCTCACCTCTTTCCATCTTTGCTCAACTGTTACCTTGTCTTATAACTCTATAAAGGAGCTAAAACCTGACCATTTGAGAGTTTTGAGCAAATGAGGATCATAATCTAACTGACGTATTAAAAGGATCACTCTGCTTGTTGTGATGAGAAGAGACTGAGGGTGAACAAGGGCTGAAGCAGTCAGGGGCAATTGCAATTGTCCAGTGAGAGAAAATGGTGGTTCAGACCAGGTGGGTGTGGAGGTGGTGAAAGGTGGTTGGACTCAGGATATATTTTGAAGGTAGATTCAACAGGATTTGCTGTCACTTTCAATGTGGGGTGAGAGAAAAAGATAAGGGTCAAAGATGCTTTTGAGGTTTTTGGCCTTAGAGACTGAAAGAATGGAATTGGCATTTACTGCAACAAGGAATAAATATCGAGAAAAGAGCACAAAATCAGGAATTTGATTTTGTTTATGGTATTTGGATAAATGAAATTTGAATTAGGAAAAGGTCTGGGATGGAGTTATAAAATTTAGGAGTGACTAGTTTATAGATATTATTTAAAGTCCTGAGCCTGAATGAGATCACCTGGGGATTGTAGATAAAGCAAAGGGCCTTAGAGTTAAGCCTAGGTGTGCTCCATTGTTCAGAGGTTGAGGTGACCAAAGACCCTGGAAACTGGGACTCTGGAAACCAAATGAAGAATGTTCCAGGAAAGAAGTGGTCAGCTGCATCAAAATGCTGCTGACAGAACACTAAGATGGAGACTGAGAAATGACCATTGGATTTGGCAATGGAGAGGTCATTGGTGATCTTGATGAGCTGTTTTAGTTGAGTGGTGGGGAGGAAAGGCTGACTGGAGAGGGTTTAAGAGAGAATAATAAACGAGGAAATATTAACCTCAAATAGAGACTAATTTTTTACAGAAGATTATTTTGTAAAGTAGAACAGGAAAATGAGATGGGACCTGAAGAAGGATATGAAGTCAATGCACACTTTTTAAAAATGATGTTTGTATGACGATGGGAGTGACTGACTAAAGAGGGGGAAATTAGTTATATAGGAGAAAAAAAGTGGGGACATTTTTGGGGAACGTATATTCTTTTTTTTTTTAAAAGACAGGTCCTGGGCTGGGTGCGGGGGCTCACGCCTGTAATCCTAGCTCTCTGGGAGGCCGAGGCGGCCGGATTGTTTGAGCTCAGGAGTTCGAAATCAGCCTGAGCAAGAGCGAGACCTCGTCTCTACTAAAAATAGAAAGAAATTAATTGGACAACTAAAAATATGTAGAAAAAATTAGCTGGGCATGGTGGCACATGCCTGTAGTCCCAGCTACTTGGGAGGCTGAGGCAGGAGGATTGCTTGAGCCCAGGAGTTTGAGGTTGCTGTGAGCTAGGATGACGCCACGGCACTCACTCTAGCCCAGGCAAAAGAGTGAGACTCTGTCTCAAAAAAAAAAAAAAAAAAAAAAATATGATCCCTTGTACTTAGATCCAGCTGTGTCTTGATCTAAAGAACCACACTTAACAGGCCATGTTAGTTTTAGAGTCCTCTGGGAGCTTAACATAATACCAAAACCACACCTTTTTGGTAATCTTGGACTATAACAGAAGACAACAGTTACACTAGGATCTCACAAACCTCCCACCCACCATGATGAGCTATCTGTAGATCCTTAGTGGCTCTTAAGTATTCTCCCAGGTGTTGGGTTGTGAGTAGCTGGTTACATAATGGCATTCAGTACTGAGAAGTGCTGTTCAGCTCTGGACTTCAGTACTGTTTCTCACCATTGACATTCCTGGTGGCACAGTGGCTTCTGTGACTCTATCTGGCTTGCCTCAGCTTTGATTCTGTCCATTCAATTCTCATTTCTGCTTTTTCTGTCGGAGGGTTAGGCTTGTGGTGATGAAGAAATGCTCTGTCCTTAGCCAGAGGTTGATGAAAGTTAAAAGATGTTGTAAGCAGTAAAACAGACAACAAACAACTAGGCAGATGTTAGTTATCATTGTTGTCTGCAGCTCAAGGTTTATATTTCTGCATTTTCTAGGTTTTAAGTCAGAGTTTTAAAATTAGGGCCAGAACCTTGAAGCCAGTTGCTAGGGTGCTTGTAGAAAGGCGAGGTGACTTGTGGAATCATCTGTAAGAGGTGTGCATGCATGCTTATGTACATTCGTTTACCTATCCATAAAAAATATTTGTAAATGCTTGCTATGTGTATAGATGTGTTTTGAGGAGTTTCTGCTGTTCATATTTTTAAGAAGGGAAGACAATGAAGAGATTGGGAGCTCTTTAGTAGTCGCAGTATGAAAAGATAGAGATCCACTCTTTAGAGTAGTTCTAGAGATCATCCCTGGAGTTCTTTGTTCAAACATGTGTAAGTAAAACCCACTGTGTTAAAATCCCAAGCTGAGCTGTACACTTGCAATGAGAAAGAATGGGAGACCCTGGATTCTATCAGCTCAGCATACATCTCAATGGCATTTGCAGAGGTTCCCTGGAACTCCTAGGTCTCTGCATAGCCCAGTTCGAAAGCCTGTCCTCTAGACTATAATAAAGTTTTTAAAAATGTGATTCCTTAACCTTTCCCATCATAAAAATTGAGAGGGAAACTTTTTTCTTTTACATGAGTTTTCTCTCTTAAAAAAATAGAAGCTATTATTCATAGCTTAATTAAATGTTTTAAATCTCCAAAACTCTAAGCATCTTTCCTATGGAGATTAGTTCATAGAAGAAATTACTGAAAAGTATTAGTTGATGATAATGATGTTAATGGACTGTCAGGAGATTGGAAAATTATTTGTGGTACCCACTGATATACTCCTTTACATGGGTAGAAGTTTGACCTTTATATATACTTCAGACACATTATAGTATAAAGGATGGTGATATATGTCATCGGCCTTGTGGGTTACAAATATTAGTGAAGTGGTCTGATTGCTTGAGTGAAAACAAGTGAATCAAAGGGATAGGTCTGTATTGTTTGGCTTTTTTAAAAAAACAATAATCATATATTCATGTATTCTTTTCATACTTTTAAGAAACAAAAAGGTAATACTACTGCATTATACTTTTATTGCACATTTAAATACAGATTTTTAAAATTAAAATTGTGCTTTTTAGTAACTAATAATTTAAGAATTCTTTTTGATTCTCCCCTACTTTTCCAACCTTCTTTTCTTGGCTGATGTTAGGAAACCCAAATTGAAGATGCCTGCATTTTGAACAGGTTGAACTTACGGCCTTGGCTATAATTGTCATTTCACAGTCTATTTTTGATTTTAATCTTATTATTATACCTTTCTTTCTACAGACTGGTGAATTTTCAGCTCGTTTCCTTTTGAAGTTGCCAGTGGATTTCAGTAATATTCCCACATACCTTCTCAAGGTAAAAGTGTATGATTATCAGTATCAAAATATAAATGAGCTTTTAAAATAATTATTTAACTTAATATTTGTATGACTGGTTTGTGAACATTTGGTTCAGATGATGAATTCTACTAAAAATATTTATTGCGTGAAAATCCACTGAGTTATTTTTTAGGCCGGGCACAGTGGTTCACACCTGTAATCCTAGCACTTTGGGAGGCTGAAGCAGAAGGATCCCTTGAGGCGAGGAGTTCGAGACCAACCTGGGCAACATAGTGAGACTCCATCTCTACAAAAAATAAAAAAATTAGCCTGGCTTGGTGGTGCATGCCTGTAGTCCCAGCTACTTGGGAGGCTGAGGCAGGAGGATTGCTTGAGCCCAGGAGTTTGAGGTTGCAGTGACTTATGATTGTACCCACTGCGCTCCAGCCTGGGCAATAGAGTGAGACCCTATCTCTAAAACAACAGCAACAAAACAAATCCTTTGAGTTATTTTCTTACCTGAAACCTAAAATGGTAGCTTTAACAGTCATTTAGAACTGGGTTTTTTTGTATAAGATAAAATTAGTATAAGTAAATTAAACTTTGGAAAAAATCACTTTTATTTAATAATCATATTGGGATGAAAGACTTTCATAGAAATTGTCTAATGGGCATTCTGTCTTTAAGTAGGATTTCATATTAATTATGCTGTGCTAAAGGGCATTTCATTTTCTTTATTTATGTCAGCAGTTGAACTCAGGCACCTTTAAACTTAGGCTGTCCTGAAGAAACCCAGAATCCAGTTAGACCGGTGTATATGACATTCTTTAAAATATGTAGGCAAAGTGTGACCTGGGGTACAGCTACTTTTGGAAGGGGTCTGTAAATGCTTTGCAGAAAAGAAGTAGAATCTAAGTCATCAGACTATGGTTAGTGTGAGAGAAACTAAACGGACTAGGAGCAAGTTCTAAGAAGGAAGATTTAAGACATAGATGAGGGTTTGGGTTGTGATTTAAGGTTTGACTGTCTTCCCTCTGCCCCGTATTTCAACCTGTGGTGATTTAATTTCAATCTAATGTAAGGAAAATTTCTACTTTCCTAATGTGATGTTAGTGTTTATAACTGTCTAAAGAGAAGATAGAATCCTGTACAAGTTTCCCTGCATATTTCAGTAATCAATAAATAATATTAGATATTAATCATGATAATGATTGGGAATATGACTTGATAGAGTATACATTATAGACTATATAGATATATATAATATATGGTTCTTACATGGGTTCTTACATGTTCTTACAGTATTTTTATTCTGAAAATGAAGTCTGACTTCAGATTCTGAATTTTACTTTTGGTTGAGATATATCAAAGGGTTAGATAAATCACTGGCATAAAAACTTGATCAGTAGAAAAATATTTCTGTATTTGTTAGGATTGTTTATTTGCGAAAACTCATATAAACTAAATGGGAAATGTTGTACATATCCTCGCTTCTGTAGTCCACATGGCAGGAAGCAGAATCCATGTTGAATAGTCTGTAGATCAGGCATAGACCAACTTTCCCGTGTCTGTTCCACTTGAGCTCAATTGTGCACCCCCGAACTCCTCAACTGCTGTGTTTGTGGGGAGAACTAGTGGTCTCCAGAATAAAGGGGAGATTACAGAAGTGATAAAAGTATAAGTATTCATTCTACTTAGTAAACCAAAGAAAGATTGTCTAATAATTGTATACTTTCTCTTAAGCAAAGCTAGTTATTAGAATTTGCTGCTTTTAATTTTCTTAGGGTACAGTGGAAACTGACTTATGTAGTTCCTGTCTTTATTTTTGTCCTAAGAATTATTGAACCTAACAGTATGATGCTACCTAAGAAAGCATTGGGTTTTGTTTTTGTTTTTGGAAACCATGTTCCATAGTGAGATAGCTAAAGAAAAGGTTCAAATTGTCTACTAAAAATTTTATCCTCTGAACAAGAAGGACTCAGAAGCTAAGAATATAGAAGCTTACTTGTAAACATGATGTGTGTTTGAATTACCCTCTTAAAATAATGAGCCCATTTTATATAGAATATAGGGAAGTTAAAATCCTAGAGCTAGGAACCCTTTAGTAGCATCATACCAAAATATGTAGGAAAGTTGATGGATTCCACTGAACTGAAAGGTGGAATAGCAATTATTTTCTGCTGACAGTGGTGATTGCAAAGAAAATCAATGTTAACTTTTCTTTGATGGATAAGAAAAAATCATATTGTTTACATAGTCTGAATAGTTGTTGGAGTGTATCTAAACTAGATATCACTAAGCCCTAGCCCAAGCCAGAAGCAGGGTTATAACCAATATACTATGACTAAAGTACATGGACTTTTATTGGCATCACTTAACATCACACAGCCCATTCATCCTGATGGATTGCCTGCAGAAATTTAGTTCCACTATGGACCCTGAATCATGACACTTTTTGGAAATGAAGTGGGGGTGAAAAAGCTAAAATAAAATAGGTCATTTGTATCTGGAGATGAAGCTCTCATCCTTCTTCTGAAGCCACTGTGGCTGTACTGATCAGTTAGGACACAATCAGTGCATAACACAGATCACTCTGCCAAGCAGAGGCAGAAAGTAGGAATTAAGTTCAGGATATCAAGACTTGTTCAGAAGCCTAAGACAGGCAGAGAGTTGTAGTGAGTATCTAGGTTGTAACTGTATGATGGTCTAAGCAGGTCACTGACATGGGAGAGAGCATCTGAGTGACCTTGTGTGGTGAGAATATTCAATGTAGGAGGTATCTCCTCGGCCTGACATTGGTTAGCAGGTTACCTATTTAGAGTCAGTCTGCTTTCTAATCAAACCTAGGTAGCAACTGTCAACGTTCACAGGGCCAGGCAGGTACTGAAAAGGAGTGAATCTGACTTGATACAATATAGTAGGAAATGGTAAGAACTGTAGTGAACTAGCACATATGTGCTTCATCTAAAGACAGCAGCTGTCATACAGCTACAGAATTGTTTTCCATGTGAGAGTTTGGGCCTAGTGTTGCCGGATATGCAGATATTATTAAAAAGAGCTGAGAGACTCAGGGTTTTTTTTTTTTTTTATATGAAAAACAACTGCCTTTTAAGTAATAGCAATGATAAATATTTTTAAGAAATACTGTGCAGGCTAAACAGAACACCTCTGTGTGTTGGCCATGGCCTGTGGGTTCATTTGTGACCCTTGCTCTAAAATCTAAGAGTCTTATAACCAGGTAGGCAGCAGAAGACTCTTATTCCCGTTCATTGATTTACACTATGCAGTGTGGTAATAAGGGAGATATTACTAACCCATTGGTTGACAGAAGGAGAGCCTTGAACTGGAATCCCACCCAGTATTCTAAGCCTCACCCACTATCCTGAGCTGTCTGTCACAACTGCAAAAGAGTGCCCAGAATGGGCTTGGCTTGTTTTTTGAGTGCAGTACACTGAAGAACATCTAAATATTGATTTGACTTAAAATGACATTAGGATTAGACAAACAACACAAAAGAAATTCAAGCATAATCATTGTGCTCAAATACCTTATAATATAGTTGATAAGACAAAGTTAACAAACATTAATTGAAAAATAGGCTGGGTGCGGTGGCTCATGCCTGTTGTCCCAGCTACTTGGGAGGCTGAGAAAGAAGGATCGCTTGAGCCCAGGAGTTGGAGGTTGCAGTGAGCTATAATGACGCCACTGCACTCTAGCTGTGGCAACAGAACGAGACTCTGTCTCAAAAAAAAAAAAAGAAGAGGAAAAAAGGAAAGGAAGGGAAGAAAGAGAAATAGTTAAATGCTAATTTCTATGCTACATGTACAGTGTACATAGGCTTAAAAAAATAACTAAAGATTGTTATGAGTTGGAATGATTAGAGAAACAAAGCTTTATGGCCAATTTGGACATTAACTAGACCTCTAAGGAGGTGGAGCTTTTCAAGGCTAGAAGGGGCGGAGGAGCAGATCAGGTATGCATGATCACACAATTGATGGTAGGACTGACTGTGTGGACATACTTATTTGGAGAGGAGGTAGTGATCTAGGCTGCAAGAGATATTTCTTGTAAAAGACTAATGAGAGATAAAACTGGAAAGATAAGTGGAAAAGATCTTGAATGCTAGGACATCGATTTTAGACTTCATTAAACAGGTAGTCTTAATCCCCTTGTAATTGGATTACCATAGTAATAGCTTCCTATTTTATTTCCTTGGCCCTATTTCCTCCATCCCCAATCTTTCTGCAGTATTACTACTAGAGTAGTCTGCTTTAATCTTCTCTTGAAACCAGTAATAGTTTCTTATTGGATGCTGCTTACAGAGCCTACCCTCCCGGGTAGTGTCATTTTACTGTTCCCTAACATGTGCTTTTAATCTGAAGCAGGCAGCCCTCCCCACTGTCCTGCCAGTGCTGTGAGATTTCTCAGTGCTATCACTTTGCTTGTGCTCTTCCTTCTAGCTCTGAAGTCCCTACTCTTTCATCCTCTGGAGAATTCACTTAACTGATATAAGAATAAAGAGAAGTCCAGAGAAATTCAAGTTACTTGACCAAGACCGTAAATGTTTATTTGGAGCTGTTGACAAAATATCTAGTCTTGATTACTGGCATCTGGGGCAAGAGGGGTGCTAAGAGGTCTAGATGGAGAGGTAGAGGATAATGAAACCAAAGTGAGCCTTTTGAAGGAGGAAGTTTAGCATGCAGCTATGGGAAGCCTGAATTTAGAAGATCTAATGGAAGAGAATTGCCATGTAGATACAAGAACAACAGGAGCTCAGAGTCGTGTAAACCAAATGTTTTTAAATGTTCATGAAGAAGGGAATGCTCAAATGCCATTGAAAGAATTAGAGTGGATAAAAGACATTTGATTTGGCTAGGAGGATAGAAATGGTGAGAGCAGGGAGAACGCTTTAGAATGGATAGAGGGTAGATTGTTGGTGTTAATGAGGATATAAGTGATTAGGAAATTTGCTCAGTGGGTATTTGACAAAATGAATTGTGGAAATGGGATGGAAACTTGAAGAACTGAAATGATCAA